TATTAGCGAAATTACGTTGGGATTTAGCTGCGACAAAAAACAAAACGGATAATAATGTTGGCGATTTTTGACAAGTTGAGATTTTTTTCTGTATCTTTGAACCACTGCATCTCGGTTCCTATTACGTTAAAGAATACTTTTGACTGGTTAAATTTGAAAGGAAATTAAACTTTCTTCAACTTTATAAATTAGTCTATTCCGCTAAAAACGCATGGTTTAGAAGTTATAAGCAAAAAACTGAAAAAGTTCGAAAATTACTAGGTCTTTCGACTTCGCTTCAAGTTAGCATAGGGTCCTCGAGGTCGAAAGCTCAGATTCTACTTCACACAAAAACGACATGCCAAAATATCATTAACTTCGGAATATTTTCCAACTACCCCCTTTATTTATTACTTGCCTGCTGGCCTACTATGGTAAAGTTCCTCGGTGGATAGCTACAGATTTTAAAGAATCGACACCTCAGTCTTTACATGTCTTCTATGATGCAGCTTGTATTTCTTTAACGATAGAAGTAGATGAAGGTCCATAGTTTGTTTAGGACTAATTGAAGCAAAATCTATAGTAGCACCTGTTAAGAAGTTAACTATACCTCGCCTTGAACTTTTAGCTGCTACCATTAGTGTACGATTACCTATTTCAAAACTTTTACAATAATCACGGTTTAAAACTTGAAGTTTTCTTTTAGTCAGTTTCATCAACAGTTTTATCTTGGATTAGGAGAGAAGACCAATTAAAACCGTTCATCTGGAATCGTATGGAAGAAATAGAAAAGTTTACCAAACCTGAAGATTGGTACCGTTCTTGGGCAATTGAACCCAGCAGAGGCTGTTCTACGAAAACACTAGCTGAAAGAAGATGGTGGGAGGGACCTCGATGGTTACTTGATTCAGTTTCTGAGTGGCCAAGTCAAAATTTCGAGTGCGACGAAGAAGAAGTTAGTAAAAAAAAGAAATACTGTAGTTTCTTCTTTGGTTGTACATTCAGGGAACCTGATGAGCAGCGGAAGACCAGATCTGGGAGAAATGTTGAAATTGCTGCATTGCAAGATACAGAGTTTAATTGTGTTATTATTTTGTTATAAGAATACACAAGGTGGGAGAGTGTGAGAAGCCCCTATTTTTTTTTTTTTTTTTTTTTTACGGATATGCGCACTCGCAAGGAGATGTCCTATCACGCTCGAGAAGCGGCAAGTGCGCGGAAATGTCGGTGTATGTTGGTCTTGAAACGGTTCAGGTTGTAACCTGCAGGGAAAACCGTCGCAGGGAGTTTATTCCACAGCGATGCTGTTCTCCAGAGATATGAATTCTGATATAATGAGGTTCTCGGTGCCTCTAGTTTGACAGTAAATTCATGGTTACCGTCTGTTTGACGGGTTCGCCTGGTAGGTGCTACTCTCGGTGGAATCATACGTGCCAACTCTTCAGAGCATTTTCCGTGATAGTACCTGTAGAAGAGAGATAAATCGCCCACAGATCTGCGATGTTCGAGACCATCCAAGTTACGAGTAAGTGTGGGGTCATTGATCAGCTTGATAGCTCGTTTTTGCACGGTATTCAAAAGCATTAAGGTATGTTTGGGTGCTGCACTCCATATATGTGAGCAGTACTCCATAGTTGGTCGAATCTGGGCTTTGTAGAGTGTCAGCAATTGGCTTGGTGTGTACAGATGTCTTGTACGAAATAGCACCCCCAGCTTTTGGGAGGCCCTTTTAGCAATATCTGCCACGTGACTGTGCCAAGACATGTTGGTCTCTGCAGTAACCCCCAAGATGTTCAACTGACTCTGTAATGTGACAGCACTTCCAGATAGCATGATGTTTGGCTCACCGGTACTGGTCTTTTTTGAAAACAGAGCTGCTTGGGTTTTCTGCGCGTTGAACTGTACAAGGTTTTTGTTACCCCAGTCCTCTATTATCTCCAAGTCGTTATTTATCTGCGATATTTGAGTTAGTCTAAGATGATGGAATTCACGTGCGGAAAGACCTGTGGGTGGTATGAGTGAGGAGACTACATTGCCATCGTCTGCAAAGCAATAAAGTGGATTTACTGTTTTATCTATGAGGTCATTTATGTAAATCAGGAAAAGAGTTGGCGAAAGGATTGCTCCCTGTGGCACACCAGCATTTATTTGGTAAGAGTTGGAGTTCTGGCCATCCAGTGCAACATAAATGGATCTGTCCTTTAGGTAACTTTCAAACCAAGTGCAAAGTTTCGGCGATAATCCCATTGCTTTGAGCTTGTTGAGCAGATTTTCATGCCAAACTTTGTCGAATGCTTTAGATATATCTAAGGCAATTGTTCTTGTTTCACCCCGCAACTCAATCGCTTTTTGCCATAAGTGAGTGACGTATGTAAGTAAATCGCCAGTTGACCTATATTTTCGAAATCCGTATTGCTTATCGTTGATAATTTTGTACTTTTCCAAGTACTTGGTTAGGTGATTGTTCACAACTCTTTCCATTACTTTTGATATCACCGGAAGTAGAGCAATTGGTCTATAGTTTAACGGATCTGTCTTTTTTCCTTTCTTTGGAATGGGTTGTACTGCGGCAGACTTCCATGATGATGGATATACTCCTTGCCTGTAAGACAAATTGAATAATTTTGCGAAAGTTGGGGCGAGTTCGTTGGCGCAATTTTTGAGTACTATTGCGGGAATGCCATCCGGACCCATTGCTTTGTTTGTATCCAGCTTTTTTAGGGATTTTCGTATTTCTCTGTGACAAAAGGGTACCTCTGGCATACTATGGGAAACCCTTTCAATGAACGGTGGAGTTTTTCCGTTTGGCACTGTTAGGTTGGAGTTGGAGGAAAACATTTGGGCAAGCATATTGGCTTTTTCCTCTGATGTTGTGGCTAAGTGATTATTTTTATCTGTAAGTGGTGGTATGGATGACTTGGTGAAGTTAGATCCAACAGCTTTTGCAAGAGACCAAAAAGACCTAGAACTACTTGGACAATTCAGCAACCTGTTTTTTATTCTTTGATTGTATGTTTCTTTAGCGGAGTCAATAGTAATTTTGCAACTATTTCTGGCTTCTATAAATTCTGTGTGGTTTTGAGCGGTTTGTTGTCCTTTCCAAAGGTTATATGCTCTGTGTTTTTTCTGTACAGCCGTTTGACACTGGCTGTTGAACCAAGGTTTTGCATTAGCTCTACGTTTAGTTGTATGTGGGATATATGCGTCCATTCCAGATAAGATTGCTTGTGTTATTTCATTACAGCAAATGGTGGGATCAGCTGTTTTAAAGCAAACCTCTTGCCATGGAAAATCCAGGTAATACTGTTTTAGGTCATTCCATTTTGCCGATTTATAGTGCCATATTTTACGAGGAAGTGGTTGTAGGCTTGGTGGGATGAGCATTTCGCACTTTGTTATTATAAGTTTATGATCGGACGAACCAAGTGGAGCATCCACTTGAATTGTGTACGAGTCAGGATTGGTGGTTAGGAACAAGTCTAAAAGCGCTGCAAATTCGCCCCTTTCTGAGATACGGGTAGGTTCATCGACAAGCTGCGTTAGACCACAACTTATGGCAAAAGCTTCTGCTTCTCTGCCTTCGTTATCTGTTTTGTTGTGGTGTTTCAGCCAGGGTATATTGTGGACGTTGAAATCGCCTAAAAAGACAATTTCCGCCTGTGGATAGTTTGACTGTATACTATCACAGCTTTCGGATAATGTCGCGAAAAAGTTTTGGTAATCGGTGTTACTTGGCGGTCGGTAGAGGCAGCAGATAAACTATATCAGTTTTAACAGAGAAATAGAGGGGAAATGTAAGAAAAATTGCAAAAAAAATAGATGAGAAGATAATAATGCTTAATCTATTCCAGGCTCTTGAATTTTCTGTATTTCGACAAATTCAACAGAATGTAAAAAAAAAATCATATTTTTTTCTATTCCAGGCCCTTGAATTTCTTTGGAGAAATTCAAAAGCCGAGAATAGACAAAAATTGGACAGGAAAAATTGTGAATTAGAAGAAAGAAGTTCAATAAAAGTTGAGAAAAAAACGGTAGATTAGAGGAAGTGTGAAGACTGGTTCAGAGATCTTCATCAAAAACTTGCAACGAACCTTGTTCTAAACAAAGACATGACAGTCTTGCAGGAAAACGCAGTGGACTGTATAATGACAACACCAGGAATTAATTAGAAAATGGTATAAAATTAACCTTTCACAACTGTCTGCCTACTGATGGGCTAGGGGCTGAATTCTCTATTCCAGGCTCTTGAAATTTATTCATTTCGTCAGTTTCAAAAGCCGTGGAATAAACCAAAATTGAAGAATAGAGAGAATAAATGTAAGCAAACTTCATATTTTTTCTATTCCAGGCTCTTGAATTTCTCTCGAGACATTCAGAAGCCGAGAATGGACAAAAATTGAGCAGGAAAGATTGTGAATTAGAGGAAAGACATTCAAGAGAAATTGAGAAAAAAATGGTAAATTAGAAGAGTGTAAAGACTGATTCAGAGATCTTCATCAGAAACTTGCAACGAAACTCGTTCTGGACAAAGACATGACCGTCTTGCAGGAAAACGCAGTGGACTGCACAATGACAACGCATGAACTAATTAGAAAATGGTATAAATTTAACCCTTCACAACTGTATGCTTACTGGGCTAGGGACTGAATTCTCTATTCCAAGCTCTTGAATTTCTCTCGAGAAATGCAGAAGCCGAGAATAGACAAAAATTGAGCAAGAAAAATTGTGAATTAAAGGAAAGAAATTCAAGAAAAGTGAGTCAGAGGAAAATTGAGAATTTTTCAATTTCCATTCTTTGACAGAATTATTCATTTATCAACTTCAATAGGGTTGAAGAGAAACGCCAATTCTATAATACTTTTTTGATCATAATAGTAGTAGGTACTACCCTTTCAATGAATTTATAAATTGCTAATATTTTTCCCATGAAGCAATTTCCAATCTAAAATAAAGAATATAACATAAATTAAAATACTTAGGTAATTATTATCGAAAGTGTGGTGTGGGAAACCGCCAGGCTAAAACATTTTTCTTTTCATTGATGCCTCTTCTTCCATATCGCAGAAAAGTAGTGACCGGGGTACCGCCGTTGAGGTCAACGTTCTTACGTCATATCCGACCGGTCTTTTCTTAGTTTTAATATGGAACCATTAGGCAATTATCAAGTAAGTAGTACCACATTTTCGACTTTGATTTTTATGTAGAATATTTTATGTAATCGATTAGGGTACCGAATAGTAGCTAAAAATGAAAAAGTGGTACCAGGTGTTTGAACACGGTACGACCTCTATTGATAAATATGGTAGGCTTCAAGGCAGAGTACTGTTAATATATACCAGGTCTAATCTAAAAATAAGCGGAGGTCGATAAGTTCAAAATTTATCACAATTTTTTTTACGCAATTTTATTCTATTCTTATTTACAATCACAATTATTTATAGTAAAATGCTAGCAGGACCTCTTAGGAGATGTAGAAAAATTTGGCCGATATTATTGTTTTTCAAAACAATCATTATTATAGTGATATGGATTAATGCCAACAAACAAACCGAAATACATCCGAAGCATATTTTTAGGTAAGAGAATGTTAAGAGTTTGAATAGTCGCTGACTAATTTAATTTCAGGGAAAACAATCAAGAAGAATACATCGACAAAAACGGCATTAAAGTAGTCATAGGCCATTATGTTGGAAATCCGGCTAAAAAAATCCCTAATGCCACTTATGACATGCTCAACACGAATAACTTCCACCCTCAGCCTAATGCCGGAAGAAATGGCAATCCTGTTGTTATAGAATCTAGAGATTTACTTACAATGCAACAGCTTTTTCAAATAAACAGATTCAATTTGTTGGCCAGTGATAAAATTCCATTGAACAGATCATTGCCAGATTTCCGAAGGAAAAAGTAATAATTTATTATATTTTTGACTCAAAAACTTTTATTGATGATTCTTAGATGCGCCTTAAAATACAACGACTCTTCAACTTACCCCAAAACAAGCGTAATTATAGTATTTCATAATGAAGCCTGGTCCACACTTCTACGAACAGTTTGGAGCGTAATAAACAGATCTCCAAGTGAGCTACTTGAGGAAATTATTTTGGTGGATGATGCAAGTGAAAGAGAATTCCTAAAAAATCCTTTGGACGACTACATAGCATCACTACCAGTGAAAACTTTTGTAATCCGCAGTCCGGAACGTATAGGTCTAATAAAGGCTCGTTTAAAAGGTGCCAAAATAGCCAAGGGAGAAGTACTGACCTTTCTGGATGCTCATTGCGAGTGCACCAAAGGTTGGCTGGAAGCCTTATTATCTGTGATAAAAAACGACAGAAAAACTGTAGTTTGTCCTGTGATCGATATTATTCACGACGATTCGTTTGCTTACATTAAAAGCTTCGAATTGCATTGGGGGGCTTTCAATTGGAATTTGCAGTTTAGGTGGTACAGTTTGGGCGGCAAAGAGATGACTTTGAGGAAAATTGATGCCACACAACCGTTTCCATCGCCTACAATGGCTGGTGGATTATTTGCTATTGATAAGAGTTACTTTTTTGAAATTGGTTCGTATGATGAAGGTATGAATATTTGGGGCGGGGAGAATTTGGAGATGTCTTTCAGGTAAATGTTAACTATTTAATTGCTAGATTAAATGATTGGGTATTATAGGGTGTGGCAATGTGGAGGCAGAATTGAAATAGCTCCTTGTTCCCATGTTGGTCACATTTTTCGTAAATCTTCACCCTACACATTTCCTGGAGGCATAAACAAAACCCTTTTTGCTAATCTGGCCAGGGTAGCTTTAGTTTGGATGGACGAATGGGCAAATTTGTATTTCAAATTCAATGAAAAAGCAAGAGAAATGAGGGATAGTCAAAATGTGACTTCTAGATTAGAATTACGAAAACGACTTCAATGTAAGAATTTCGAATGGTATTTGGATAATGTGTGGCCGCAGCATTTTTTTCCAAAAGAGGACAGATTTTTTGGACAAATAAAAAATATCGGCGAAGATTTATGCTTGTTGAAGCCTGAGAGAAAGGGGCTTTCGAATCAGCCAATGGGACTGGCTACAATTGACAGGTGCATTTTTTTTTTGTGGGAAATTCCTAATATACCTATACTTACATTATTACAGGTGCCTAAATGATGATATTGAAGATGAACTATTCGTAATGACAAAAGAAGGTTTCATCATGACTGACGATTCTATTTGTTTAGATGCGCCAGAGCGAGAAGGGCTGGGCCCTTCAAAAGTGAGGATTATGGCTTGTAGCGCTTATTCTAGACAGAAATGGGTTTACAATGAAAAGGTATAATACTTTTTTTTTTGGGAAAAAGTCCAAACTTATTTTGTGATTTTAGACACAAGAACTGCGACATCTCACCAACCAGAAATGTCTGGACGTCTACAATTCGGATTCTTTAGAGGGTGGACTGATAATCAAAAAATGTAATGGTGCCAACAGTCAGAAATGGTTATTGAAACGTGTTTCTTGGAAATAAATGACAATTGTTGATCATACATAGAAATTTGAGAATATTTTTTAACTTTTTTATTAAAATTTGTGTAATTTCAATAACCCTGTATATTTGTATAATTTCAATATTCCTGGTAAGTTGGTAGGTATTTACAAAACATGAATTAGTGAAATCAGGAGTTTGTACTGTAGGCAAATCTTGTATCCGCGTTTATTTGGAAGGTTCACCTACATCCAAATTTTACGTTTCACCTAAAAGTTTATCTGGTCTTCCATGATGTTTTGCTCGTCTTTGTCCTCAACAGCTTATTCATTGAATGTTATGGACAGATTTCTTTGGATACAGTTTTTCTGTCTTTCAGATGAACCTTCAAAGCAGAGCTGGCACAAGTACATTACGAAACTACTTGAAGTACAAGTATGAAGTTAATATATTCAATAGATTTATTTAAAGTACAAATACATAAGAGTTACAAATGCTGACAATTTCAATGCAATTTACTCAACGGTTATCGAGGAATTGAGGTTCGAATATTTTTGAAATTAGAATTCAACGGGACTCTAGAAAATTTTCAAAATCTTGACATGTCTTGAGCAATTGCCTCTATATCTCTGTTAAATTTTGAGCAAATTCAAATAAATTATGTACTCTCAGAAAGACCATTAAATTCTCTATAAATCCGTGAAAAATTAAATTTCGTAGATCAGAAAGGTTCTAAGTAATTGAGCTTCTAAGTTAACTTTTAGTCTAAATTTTGTCAAAAACTTCAAAATCAATTTTCTCAAAAATTATAAAACTAGGAATATTGTAAATTACAGGTCTTTTGGAGCTTGATAAGAGCTACAAATGCTGGAAATTCCAATGCAATTTGCTTCACGGTTACCGAGCAATTCAGGTTTGAATATTTTGAAATCAGAATTCAAAAGGGGTACCCTCATGAAAAACTCGATTTTTTTATTTTTCAGTTTTACTCAATTTATTACCAATCGATAGAGCGAGTCAAAATTAGTGGAAAACAACCCATCAATCATTTTCAAATGGCCATTTCAAGCAGTAACAAAAATAAAAAGAAAATCCTATTTTTGGCTCTAGAAAATTTTCAAAATCTTGACATCGTCTTGAGCAACTGCCCATATCTTTATTAAATTTCGAGGAAATTGAAACAAATTACATATCATTGGAAAGAGCAATAAATTCTCTATAAATCCGTGCAAAACTGAGTTCAATACCTCAAATAGTTCTTGAGTAATAGAGCCTCAAAGTTGATTTTTAGTCAAAATTTTTCTAAAAACTTCAAACTCAAATTGCTCAAAAACTATAAACCTGGGAATATTGTAAATTACAGGGTTTTTAAAGCTTATTGAGAGCTATACATGCTGAAAATTTCAATGCAATTTGCTCAATGATTACCGAGCAATTGAGGTTTGAAGATTTTGGAATTAGAATTCAAAGGGGTACGTACCCCTTATAAAAAACTCGATTTTTTTATTTTTTAGTTTTGCTCAATTTTGACTTCACCAATCGATAGAGAGGGCAAAAATTAGTGAAGAACAATTCTGACATGATTTTCAAATGGCCATATTAAGGCGAAAGAAAATTAAAAGGGAAAACCTATTTTTGGCTCTGGGAAATTTTCAAAATCTTGACATGGTCATGAGCAATTGCCCATATCTTTGTTAAATTTTGAGAAAATTGAAATAAATTATATATCATTGGAAAGAGCAACAAATTCTCTATAAATCCGTGCATAACTGAGTTCAATACCTCAAATAGTTTTTGAGTAATTGAGCCTCAAAGTTGATTTGAGTCCAAATTTTTCTAAAAACTTCAAACTCAAATTGCTCAAAAACTATAAACCTGGGAATCTTGTAAATTACAGGGTTTTCAAAGCTTAATGAGAGCTATAAATGCTGAAAATTTTAATGCAATTTGCTCATTGATTACCGAGCAATTGAGGTTTGAAGATTTTGGAATTAGAATTCAAAGGGGTACGTACCCCTTATAAAAAACTCGATTTTTTTATTTTTTAGTTTTGCTCAATTTTGACTTCACTAATCGATAGAGAGGGCAAAAATTAGTGAAGAACAATTCTGACATGATTTTCAAATGGCCATATTAAGGCGAAAGAAAATTAAAAGGGAAATCCTATTTTTGGCTCTGGGAAATTTTCAAAATCTTGACATGGTCATGAGCAATTGCCCATATCTTTGTTAAATTTTGAGCAAATTGAAATAAATTATATATCATTGGAAAGAGCAATAAATTCTCTATAAATCCGTGCATAACTGAGTTCAATACCTCAAATAGTTTTTGAGTAATTGAGCCTCAAAATTGATTTTTAGTCTAAATTTTTCTAAAAACTTCAAACTCAAATTGCTCAAAAACTATAAACCTGGGAATATTGTAAATTACAGGGTTTTTAAAGCTTAATGAGAGCTATAAATGCTGAAAATTTTAATGCAATTTGCTCATTGATTACCGAGCAATTGAGGTTTGAAGATTTTGGAATTAGAATTCAAAGGGGTACCCCTTATAAAAAACTCGATTTTTTTATTTTTTAGTTTTGCTCAATTTTGACTTCACTAATCGATAGAGAGGGCAAAAATTAGTGAAGAACAATTCTGACATGATTTTCAAATGGCCATATTAAGGCGAAAGAAAATTAAAAGGGAAATCCTATTTTTGGCTCTGGGAAATTTTCAAAATCTTGACATGGTCATGAGCAATTGCCCATATCTTTGTTAAATTTTGAGCAAATTGAAATAAATTATATATCATTGGAAAGAGCAATAAATTCTCTATAAATCCGTGCATAACTGAGTTCAATACCTCAAATAGTTTTTGAGTAATTGAGCCTCAAAATTGATTTTTAGTCTAAATTTTTCTAAAAACTTCAAACTCAAATTGCTCAAAAACTATAAACCTGGGAATATTGTAAATTACAGGGTTTTTAAAGCTTAATGAGAGCTATAAATGCTGAAAATTTTAATGCAATTTGCTCATTGATTACCGAGCAATTGAGGTTTGAAGATTTTGGAATTAGAATTCAAAGGGGTACCCCTTATAAAAAACTCGATTTTTTTATTTTTTAGTTTTGCTCAATTTTGACTTCACTAATCGATAGAGAGGGCAAAAATTAGTGAAGAACAATTCTGACATGATTTTCAAATGGCCATATTAAGGCGAAAGAAAATTAAAAGGGAAATCCTATTTTTGGCTCTGGGAAATTTTCAAAATCTTGACATGGTCATGAGCAATTGCCCATATCTTTGTTAAATTTTGAGCAAATTGAAATAAATTATATATCATTGGAAAGAGCAATAAATTCTCTATAAATCCGTGCATAACTGAGTTCAATACCTCAAATATTGTAAATTACAGGGTTTTTAAAGCTTATTAAGAGCTACAAATGCTAAAAAATTTTATGCAATTTGCGCAATGGTTACCAAGCAATTGAGGTTTTAAGATTTTGGAATTAAAATTCAAAGGGGTACCCCTTACGTGAAAAACTCGATTTTTCAATTTTCCAGTTTTGCTCAATTTTGACTTCACCGATCGATAGAGCGGGTCAAATCCTGGCATGATTTCCAAATGGCCATATTAAGGTGAAAAAAATTAAAAAGGAAATCCTATTTTTGGCTCTCGAAAATTTTCAAAATCTTGACATGGTCATGAGCAATTGACCATATCTTTGTTAAATTTTTAGCAAATTGAAATAACATATAAATCATTGGAAAGAGCATCAAATTCTCTATAAATCCGTGTAAAATAGAGTTCAATAGCTTGAATAGTTTTTGAGTAATTGAGCCTCAAAATTGATTTAATGTCCAAATTTTGTCAAATTGCCTAATGCTTACCGAGCAATTGAGGTTTGAAGATTTTGAAATCAGAATTCCAAGGGGGTACCTTTTTGGAAAACTCTATACTTCAAATATTGATAGCTCTGGTTCAAAGTACCTATTTGATTCACTTTTCTGGTCATTTCTTTCTTCAATTACTCCACTTGATTCCACCGTATGTTCTTTGCTTTCTATTTCTGGTTCTCAACAATCTCAACTGTTTCGCTTATACAAAATATGAATTTTCTGCACTGATAGGGGGTAGAGTAAGAGAAGTAGGTACTATCACAAGTTTGTGTCCGTCATTCAGTCAAGAGCGCTATACTTTTTTTGAAATTGAAGAAACATTCGCCCAACCATGACTCCAAAGCAGTCAAGATATATTTCAGAATTTACCATAAATCATAGTCAAAGTTAAATAAGCATAGTTTGTGTAATTTGGTATATAATTGTGGCAATAACTTACCAATCAAACGACAAACCCAACAAAATATATATCCCAATATCCTGGTAAAAGTAAAATTTATTACTCAGCCAAAGATCGCTGTATGCATACATCCTGGAAACTATATGCATCATGTAAAAGCCGCGTTGCATTTGCAATATGATGAATGTGCAAAATGTTGCCCTGAAAGAGCTTTTACGGTATAATTTACTTTGACCATAGGCCAATCGTGCTCTTTGATCTGTATCTGGGCAAAAGAGGAAAAATTGTTTCAAGTGTTACCGGTGTAATCGCGACAAAGTAGAAATCTACCGGTGAAATAAATGGTCACCTCGAGTATTAAATTAAATTTATTTAGTTTTCGTGTAATGTACCAGTTTTTTTCTTGTGAATATTCACTGGGTGTTCATGGGTCAAGAGTTATACGGGTTGAGCAAGATAGCAATCAAATAAATGGAATTTCTAGAAATGGCCCAGAAATATGTCGCCTGGCCAAGGTATTATACAGATTCCTCCTCCTACCTTCTTCTTAACGTCCAAAACTAATGCGCTTCTCGATATTTATTAAAGACTGGAACCTATAAATCAATAATTATAACTGAATAACATTGTTTACGATTGTCTCTTTGAGAATGCGTATATGTACGTGGGAGCAACAAATTACCATTTGGTAATATCTTCTAAACGATGCTTGAGCTTGTTTGTTGCGGATGATATGATTTGAATCAGGATTTTCTTGTTGGAAAATACCATTCTCTAATAAGCTTAAGAGGATTTTGTTTTTGGTGATGTAAACATAGTTATGACCTATATATA